GGCCCAGCCAGCTTCAGTGGAGAATTCTATCAAACATTTAGAGAAGAGCTCACACCAATACTACTCAAACTATTTCAGAGCTTAGAAAAGGAAGGAATACTCCCAAATTCATTCTATGAAGCCAGAATGACCCTGATACCAAAACCAGGCAAAGACACACAATAAAATTACAGACCAATATGCCTCATGAATATAGATGAAAAAATTATCGACAAAATTCTAGCCAATAGATTTCGACAGCATATCAAAAAAATAATATATCATGACCAGGTGGGATTCATACCAGGTATGCAAGGATGGTTCAACATTAGAAAATCAATCAACATAATCAACCACATATATAAAACAAAAGAAAAGAATCGTATGATCATATCAGTCGAAGCAGAAAAGGTATTTGAAAAGGTCCTAACACTCATTTCTGATAAACATGGCAGAGTCGTTAAGTGCTGTGGCTGTTAACCAAAAGGTCAGCAGTTCAAATCCACCAGCTGCTCCTTGGAAACTCTATAGGGCGGTTCAAACTCGGTCCTATAGGGTCGCTATGAGTCAGAATAAACTCCACAGCAATGGTTTTTTTTTTTTAATGATCCAGCAATCCCACTCCTGGTAGATACCCTAAAGAAATAAGAGCTGTGACATGAATAGACATATGCTCACCCATGTTTGTTGCAGCATTATTCACAATAGCAAAAAGATGGAAACAACTTAAGTGCTCATCAATGGATGGATAAACTATGGTACCTACACACAATGGAATACTACACGATAACGACTAATCTGCAAAATATCTCACAACATGGATGAATTTGGAGGACATTATGCTGAGTGAAATAAGTCAATCACAAAAGGACAAATATTGTTATGAGAGCACTATTATAAAAAAACAAGAAAAGATTTACACACAGAAGAAAAAAACATTCTTTGATGGTTACCAGGGATAGGATGGGGAGGGAGAGAAAATTACTAAGTAGATAGAATACACGTGTTAATATTGGTGAAGAGAAAGGCAATACGCACTATCGGGGAAGTTAGCACAACATAACCAAGGCAAAGGAAGACACCGAGAGGCATGCAAGAATAAAGGGCAACTATGGTAATTACTATAACATAGACAATCCTGCAATAACAGAATTAACAAGCAATAACTTACGAATGGATACACAAGTAGATAGATATACTAAAGAGGTGTGGGTGGGTGTAAGGGAGCACACTCACCTGCAGATATAAGTCTGGCTGTGGATATTTCTACATACATAATTGTAGGTGCTGCATGTACATTAATATGGACAACAGAGCACACAAGAGGCAGAGTCATGGAAACTTCTTAGATATAACCAAAAACCCTGCAGGATAAAGTTCCAAGGCTTAAAGGAGAAGGACCATAGACTCAGGGGACATCTATGTCAATTGGCACAACGTAGTTCATAAAGACAATGTTCTGCATCCTACTTTGGTGAGTAGCGTCTGGGTCTTAAAAGCTTGCAAGCAACCATCTAAGATATGACTATTGCTCTATTCCCATCTGGAGCAAAGGAGAGTGAAGAAAATAAAAGACTCAAGGGAGCACTCAGTCCAAAGGACTAATGGACCACATGAACCACAGCCTCCACCAGCATAAGCCCAGAAGAACTAGATGACACCCGGCTACCACTACCAACCACTCAGGCTGGGATCACAACACAGCATCCCAGACAGAGCAGGAAAAAAACGTAGAACAAAAAATCAAATTCACAAAACGACCAGACTTACTGGTCTGACAGACTGGAGGAACCGCTGCGACTACAGTCCTAACCTGGAACTGAAGACTTTACCGGAGACCGTCTTTCAGCAAAACAATAGACAGGCCCATAAAATAAACAATAACACACAAGAGGAACGTGTTCCTTAGAACAATCAATTATATGAGATCAAAAGGACAACATTTGCCCAAAAGCATGAAGGGGTAGAAAATCCAAATGAAAGGAAATGAGGAACCCAGGGCAGAAACGTGGAGAGTGCTGACACATTGCAGGAAGTGCAATCAACGTCATGGAACACTTTATTTACAAACTATAGAATGGGAAACTAATTTGCTCTGTAAATTTTCACCTAAAGCACAATAAAAAATTAAATAAATAAATGAGGTAATACTTGAAGAAAAATGCTTAGCTGTAAATACTCAATAAATAGCAGCAGTTGCTAATATCATTACATTTATTAGTATTATTGTCATTACTTCCATAATCTCCCAGTCAGCAGAAAAACACTACAGTCACTTTAACTGTTCATTTTTATCTCTCGTGATCAAGGTCCTACGGATCTCCTTCTTTTCCATGCCCACCAAATTTTTCTTAACTTAGGCCTTCGCCACAAATGAGGATATTTTCAGAGAGGAGCTATAACCATTTCATTACCTTCTCCTCACCTCCTATCTAATTATTGCACTAAAATGGACTCATACTATCCAACACTCTTTTCCCTTCTCCAATTTATCCCATACCTCAAAAAAATAAAACAAAAACAGTTTTCTGAAGCACTTTCTCCCTGCCATTCCCCTGCTCAGAAGTCTTTAATTTAAACTTACGATTGAGTTTAAATTCCTGTCTCTAAAATGTAGCTGAATTTTATTTGTTAGTAGGTACTTTCCCAAAGAAGGATATAGGAACTTTATTATTCTTGTGAAGTGACATCACATTAATCCAGCAAATCTCAAGAGCCTATTACTGATTAAACAATATAGACTCAAAGAGTATTCCAGTATAAGTCTAGAAACTTAGGTGGAAGACAATCAAAAGTTCTCATTCAGAAACATCTCTATATCTACTATGAAGTGTGCATCAGGATATATTGTTCAGTAAAAGAAGCTACTTGGTAAAGTATATGCTACCATTCATCTAACAAGGGAAAGGAAGAGGGATAGATACACACACACACATACTATTTGCTTATGTTAAAAAAAAAGAAAAAAAAGTGGAAGGATAAACCAAAACTTCTTTTAAAAAAAAACTAGTTATCTATGGGGAAAGAGGAAACAGAAATAGGTATAAAAGCTAGAGTCTCTGAATATACCTTGTTTCATAGTTTTGAAACTACATAAACATTATATAATATATACCAGAAATAGGTTTTTTTTTTTTTAAATAAAGCAATCCCTTAAAATTAAAAAAAAAAAAAGGCTAATGAAAACTATGTATCAATCTGGGGCAGAACACACAGAGAATTATTTCACATGGACTTTAAAATCCAGTAAATTGTGGCAAATATCCTAAAGACAGAAAGAACTGCACATACAAATATTAAGCTGTTTTCAGAAATCATATTGTTGGTTATTACTGTAAAATCGTTCTGTCTATATACTGAGAGACAAAGCAAATGTATAGATATGTCAGTGTGGCATGAGAGAAACGGAAACAAATATAAGAAAAAACTGTACTCCTGGATTTGCATTGGAAATGTCAGTATGAACTCGTGTATTTATCTCTTAAAAAAAGTACATACATAGTTTTCTAGATTTTCCACTAAAAAAGCCTAGAAACAATGAGCAACTCAGTAGACATGAGTACCCTTAGAGCCCAAATTGTGGTCTCTAAATACCACTGGCTGATTCCAGGTCTGGGCCAAGAAATGTAAAGACAAGCCTGAAACATCTCATCCTACCAGAAAGCATACCAGAGGACATGTCAGAAGGACTCAGGAGTCAACTGGAAGAGGTTCCCACTGACCAAAGTTGGGACAATTTGAGCAACAATGACTGAAATTAATTGAACCACATTAAATATATTTGAATCCATGAGTTCAGAAAAGCATGTATGCTTGTGCACGCACACACGCACACACACATACACACCTGAAAACAAAGAAGTTTTGGTCAGCTTTGCAGGATACAGGAGAACAAACTCATTATTTTGAAAACGGAAAATAAAGATAAACAAGCAACTCATTATGTTGCTTTTCCTATGCAAAATGTTATTCATGGTAGCCAATAGTTGATATAGGAACTTGTACTTTTTAGAAATATTCCATATAATAAGTGAAGAATGAGAGAATTAAAATATCAATCACTTTGCCGGACACCCTTTTAGCTCAGTGATGAAGTCACTCCTGAGGTTCACTCTTCAGCCAAAGATTAGACAGGCCCATAAAACAAAATGAGACTAATGGGGCACAACAGCCCACGGACAAGGACTAGAAGGCAGGAGGGGACACGAAAGCTGGTAATAGGGAATCCAAGGTCGAGAAGGGAGAGTGTTGACATGTTGTGGGGTTGTTAACCAATGTCTTAAAACAATATGTGTACTAACTGTTTAATGAGAAACTATTGGTTCTGTAAACCTTCATCTAAAGTACAATTAAAAAATAAAAGAATATCAACCACTTTGCAACCATAAATGAAATAATGGACCTAAGCTATGTTTGTCAATCATTACTAATACCACAAAAAGAGAAACAATCTGACATTATATATAATGTTATACACAGGATCATCACCTTGGTTCTTTTTCCAACAAACTGCAGAAAAAATAAAAAGCAATGGGGAACTAAAGATTAAGAGACATAATAACCAAATGAAATGTACAAACTTATTCTGATCTTAATTCTAGCAAACAACCTAGACAAAAAATATTTGAAAGTATCAGGGAAATTTCAACACTGACTCAATTCTCTTAATAAAACATAAGCATTATTCCACCTAAAACAGTAATTCTTTTATATAATTATCAGTATCTTTTATATTTTATAGAAATACGATGACATGTATAAAATGATACAATGTCTGAGATCTGCTTCAAAATAATCAGAGGCAAAGGAATAAGTCACTAAGAATACAAATGGAACATGACTAGGCAAGAGTTGATCATTATTTAAGATGGGTGACAGGCATAGGGGGTTCATTATATTCATAATATTCAGCTGAAGCACTAATTATTAGCAATATCAGCTGGTTCACTTGAGAATCTAAGTGTTTATAAATCCTTTATACACTTTGCAAATTTGTTCTTTGATAAACATAACCTGCTTACCATTTTAGCAGCTTCATCCAAATCATCACAAGCAAGAATTTTCAGTCCACTGTCTGTTATTAGTGCCTTAGCATCATCAACTCGTGTACCTGAAAATGATTTATGCAATATAAAGGTGTTTGAACAATATACACAAAATCATTTAAACTGTTTACCACAACATACTCTAAGTATGAAATTTCAACCTAGGAGTACTTTCATCACTTAATAGAAATGCTTCTAAACCAACGAAAATACTGTAAAAGCCCTGAGTTACCTCATAAAATATATTGTCATATAATATCCCTGGTAACTCAGACAAGTCAGAATTTGAGACAAACCACTACAAATAAAGGATGTATCAAATTATCGTAAGCAAAACTATAACATTTTTCCCCAATGTCAGAAAATGTTAAAAACCCCATCATTTTTAATTTTTTCCCATTTATAATACTTTCATGAAAAAAATACAGCTTCAAAAAGAAACATATATGACACAGCTGTTTGAAAACTGTATTTTAAATGAACTGAATTCTTTGGAATTATAAACTTTTAAGCAATTGTAAGCTACCTTCTACACTCACCTTGTAACCGTACCACAATAGGTATTTTAATTTCCAAATCCTTGACTGCCATGACTATACCCTGTGCAATAACATCACACCGCATGATTCCTCCAAAAATGTTGACCAGAATAGCCTGTACCTGGGAATAAAGAGTTTTTGGTAGATTAAAGTTTAAAAGGAATGAGTATTCGTCTTTCCTTCCCAAGAAAATACTAGTATCTGTGCCTTACGATAAAAATTAATTCCACAGAAACATTTTCAGACCAAACTGCTGAACCCTCTCTAGCTCCCACCATTGATGTTTGTGTAGTCCACCATCCACCAGAACTTATCTCTACTTTCTTGGGTAATTCCACCACCTGGCTCACATTCTCTCCTCTGTTTACCCATATCAACAAGACCTCCTCAATTCCATTCACTTGTTTCCTATTAAACATAGCTATTCACCAACATGGCTCTAACTTAGATCATGTTATAAGAAAATGTCACACACAGTATCTCCAATTTAGTGTTCATTATCTGTTCTCTCTTCATTTATCCCCATCAACACAACCAACTTTTCACACAAAGCAGTCCCTCTAAATCACTCAGCTTCTTCTATATGCCCACTGCTGGCTACACTTCAATCCAAACCTAAGGGCCTATTTGGGTGAGCATTTTTTTACCATCACACTGATAATTCTGAATCACTGTTTTCTATCCTTTCCATAAAAAAAAAAAAAAAAAAAAAATCATTTTTTTAAAGAGACTTAGTTCCTTCAGCTACACCAGAGCTTCTCAACCAGTAAGATACAAATGAGTCACAGATACACCAAGCTATTGCTTCCCTCAACCCTTAGGGAAGCTAGGAAGGTTCTGAGACCGCTGGCACCCCTGGACTCTGACAACAAACAACTTTCTCCATCTACCTCCAATGCCCTATTCAAATATCTTCCATGAATGTCATGACATGAAAAAGGTTGAGACACACTGAGCTATACCACTCATTCCTTATATTTACTACTACTGGGGATCTAGAGCTCACACTGGGTTAGAATTCCAGTGGACTTTGGCACCTGACTCTCTTATCTCTTTCCCTCCCTTGCTCCTTCCTTCCAACTTCATTCTGGATGGCTTCCATATTCACCACAAAATGTCACCTAACAATTTAGCTTTAAAGGTCATGGATCTCTACCATGCTACTTTTTCCTCCAGTCCATTTCAACTAATGACTTCCAGGGACAAACATTCGACTTGCCCAGAATGAATGTTCCTAGAATATCAGAAGTGCAAATCCCACTCTCTGCTCAACCTCTTCTCCTTTCACCTTTAACTCCTTCCACCCCGAACTCCACCAAACTCAATCTTTTCTTCTTAAAGTTTCTAGTTCCTCAACCCCTTTCTAATCTTCCCAGTCTATCAGCTCCCAACTGATCTGACTTTCTTCATTATAAAGCCTGGAGCCTATGGCTGAGCAATGCAATGACACTGTCACCTGCATGCTCAATTCTCTCACATCCATCCCTCTGCTATCCCAGTTCAAATAAAGCATCTTTGGATGATCCCAGCCAATTATTTTATCCATTCTAACTTCAAGGAAAAGGGAAAAAAAAACTAAAATACTAGCACAACCTGCAGAGCGGTACAATGCAACGTTTCATCAGCAATCTTTTTCTTAGCAGTCTGCCTCATACTTTTAACTCTCTTCTTAAGCCTCCTATCTCACTTCAAGCTCTATAACTTTCAGCACATGATCAGGCCTCACATTTCACCAAAAAAAGAAATATAAGGCAGGATCTCCACCAATCTTCCTTTCCACTTCTAAACATATTTATCCAATAATATCTCAAGGAAGAAGAGACTGCCTCTCCAAAGCTAACCTCCCCTCCTAGTTAATCATGGTGACCCCATGTGTCAGAGTAGAACACGTGAGTGGAGTTTTCAATGGCTGATTTTCAGAAGCAGATAACCAGGACTTTCTTCCGAGGTGCCTCTGGATGGACTCAAACTTCCAACCTTTCAGTTAGCAGTTGAGCAGACTAACTGCACCACCCAGGGACACTACTCTTAATAAGGTTCCCAATTATCTGTATTTCACTCCTGATTACACCTGAACCCCCCGACAGCACTGACGTTGTAGTCCATCCCCTTACTGTTAAAATCTCTTCTCTCTGGCCTTCCATGTCATCACTCTCCTGATGTTCTCCTGTCTGTCAGTTTGCTCTCACTCCCTCTCCCTGGCTGCCTTCTCCATTCAACCCTCCATCCTGAGGGCCAGGCTCCATTCTTAGTTTCCTCATCTCACTCTCATGGGTCATCTCACCAACTCCTAAGACTTCACCTTCTCTCAATATGCTTAGGATTCTCAAATCTACGTCCAATTGCTAGAGTAAGTACAATATCTTTACAGCCAACCCTCTGCTAGACATAGTCACCACACTCTAAACTTAACACATTCATTCAAAAATACCTATCCCTCTACTTTGCCTCCTATAGCATCTTAAGTAATAAATGTTTATTAATAACCATTGTATGTACTGGGCATTATGCCAGCCACTGAAAGAGGCAACAATGAGTAAGACATAACACCTACCAACATCTTCATTTGGTTTGCACTCAGCTACTAACCTAAAGGTTGGCAGTTCTAACCTACCCAGCAGCAGTGCAGAAGAAAGGCCTGACAATCTGCTTCTGTAAAGATTAGAGCCAAGAAAACCCTATGGAGCAGTTCTACTCTGTAACGCATGAGGTGGCTATGAATCAGAACTGACTTGATCACAATAGGTTGGGTTTTTCATAATACTTCCAGGAATTTTTTCCATAGGAATGGCTCCCATGCCAAATCACTACCATTTATAATATCATTTAATAGCAGTGGTGGTTTAGTGGTAGAATTATTGCCTTCCATGTGGGAGACACAGTTTGAATCCTGGCCAACGTATCTCATGCGCAGACACCACCCATCTGTCAGTGGAGGTGTACGTACTACTATAATGCTGAACGGGTTTCAGTGAAGCTTTCAGACTCAGACAGACTAGGAAGAAAGGCCTGGCCATCTACTTCCCAAAAATCAGCCAATGAAAACCCAATGGATCACGACAGTCCAACCCCATTTGGCATGGGTTCGCCATGGGTCAGCTGCCCTGATGGCCTCTAACAATAATACCGTCTAATATTCTTTCACTGTGTTTTCTGAATAACAATGCACAACCTTATCTTTTCTTCTAGTTAACTTTTATTGCATTGATTTTAGCCTCTCTTTCCAAACTATTGAGATGTTTTGAATTTTAATGTTCAACTAGCACAATGACCACATCTACTAATTAATCAAGCTACTTCCCACTATTCAAATTCTAAAACATTAAGTCTTACCCTTACCTTTTTATCTGAAGTGATAAGCTTAAATGCTTCTGTTACTTGAAGGACTGTGGCACCACCACCAACATCAAGAAAATTGGCTGGCGTCCCTCCATGAAGTTTTATTATATCCATCGTGGCCATAGCCAAACCAGCACCATTTACTATCAAGAGAGGAAAATGATTTGTATAAGCAACAAGCACAGAGAAAATAAATTATGCTTAGCCAATCCAACTCAGATTATAAAACCACATGATACCCAGGCAGCCTATATTTCCATCTAGGCCAATGTAGTTGAGATTTGCTTCAGTTGCAGCTTTGTCCCTTTCATCTTCCTGGGTCCAGTCCTGTAGGTCAAAGATCTTCTTCTGGCGATAGGCTGAATTACTATCAAAATTGATTTTAGCATCCATACATAGCACTTTGAAGGGAAAAAAAGAAAGTGATCTTAATTTCAAGATAGTGACAATAAACTATTCAACATTCTTTAGATTACAGGAAAAACACATTTTAATTTTGTTACTTATTAAAAGTATTTCAATTTATGCTCACAATGAATTCAAACTGTTTCATGAAAAAGAAAATTTGGGAATCAAAACCATCCCAGCAAAGTTACTGGTTCTACATCCACCCTAAGCAACAGATAAAGAAGAAGAAAAAAAACTCAAAAACATTTCAAAAAAATTTTTTTTAATTACCAAGAATTAAATGTCCATGCTGCCAGCCTACCATTCACTTGTGTTCTAGATTCTATCCTCCTCACCTATTCAAAGACTTCATTCCAGCAATTTTGTCTTTCCTGTATTATAAATCTCCCCCTCTCTGTTGGTTAAATCCCTCTGGCTTGTAAAAATGCTTTCTCCTACCTTCAAAACAAAAAAGGAAAGAAAGAAAAAAAACTTTTCACCCCATATTCCCCTTACACTCTGCTTCCTATACAGTAAAACTCCTTGTCTGTTTAAACCAGGGGTCCGCAAACTATGGCACGTGGGCCAAATTCAGCCTGTGCCTACTTCTGTACAGCCTATGAGCTAAAAATGGTTTTTATGTTTTTAAGGAGTTGTGAAGAAAGAATAAAAGAGAAGGAAAAAGAAGAACAAGATAGAAAGGCAAGCAGCAGCAGCATCAGGACCAAATGCGGCCCACAAAGCCTGTGTTTATTATCTGCCAATCTCTGGTTTAAACTTACTGCATCCCATTCTCTCCTGTCATTCTCTCTTGAGCCCACTCTAACCAGGCTTTACCCTCAGCACTCTATCAAGAGGGCTCTATGGAAGTCACCAATGACACCCGCATTGCAAAGACCAAAAGTCAGTTCTCAAACTCTATCTTACTTGACCAGTCAGCAGCATTTGACATAGCTGATCAGCCTCTCTTTCTTGAAATTCTTCCTTTGCTTGGGATTTAGAAAACCACATTCATGTGGGTTTTCTCCTACCTCTCCAGCAATTCCTCTCCAGTCTCCTTGTTGGAACGCCCCCAGAGATGAGTCGTTAGATCTGGTCTCTCTTCTGTCTATACCCACTCAGTTGGTGATCTCCTCCTCTAGGCTCATGGCTTTAAAGACTACTCTGTACTGATGGTTACCAAATTTATATTCTCAACCTAGATCTCTCCCCTCTGCTACAGATTTGTATATCCCTTTGCCTTCTCAGCACCTCCATGTGGACATCTAACAGACATCTCAAAGTTTTAAGTCAAAAACTGAGCTCCTTATATTCTCCCTCCTCTCAGAATCTTTCCCATCTCAGTAAATGGCAGCTCTATTCTAGTTGCTCAGACTTAAAAACTTAAGATTTATCCTTGGCTTCTCTCCTCTCACACCTAATAACTAATACATCAGCAAATCTTGTTGGTTCTTCTTTCAAAATATATCTAGAGACTAATTGTCCACAGCTACCAAGGCCTCCACCGGACTGAGTCCAGTACAGCTAGATGGTGCCCGGCTATCACCACTGACTGCTCTGACCAGGATCACAACAGAGGGCTCTGGACAGAGCTGGAGACAGATGTAGAGCATAATTCTAACTCACAAAAAAAAGACCAGATTTACTGGCCTAAAGGAGAC